TTTCCAAAAGTGATTAGAAAAGGAAGTATGCAAACCCAGCATCCTTTCAAAGGTTCTGACTATGGTTTGAGCAAGATGGCTATTCCCTCATCTCCCAGAGCTCTAAACCCACAGAGAGTGCTGTCTTGTAGTCTCCTCGCAGGAAGCAGCTGTCTGGAGCACTTGTGGGCAATCTCAAGTCCTCTCTTCATCTAGAGAGGAATTACGAAGAGCCGGTCTACTCGCTAGCTCTTCATTCTGCCTCAGTCATTTGCAGAGTCATCTTCAGTTCACCATTTCTTCCCCAGAAGTCCGAAAAGAGATACATTATCAAAGATACCAGACTGGGAACTTAAATTTGGAGAACATGCAGTAATGGCAAAATTAACATCATAGTCTAACTAAATTTAAGCAAGAATGGCTTCCCCACATACTATATATTACACAGCAAGGCAGATATAAGTATCTAGAGTACGGTTTTTAAGGGAGAAAAAAGTAACTAAAGAATTGAAATCAGAGACACACAAAAATGTTTAAATGTCTATAAATATTGTACAACAGAGTAGACAAGGGGGATATTAGAAACTAACATTTATCTATAATGTTTTTAGTAGTTTTTCTTCTTTTTTTTCTTTTGTATTCTTAATAAACAAATACTGGAGATTTTGGCACTTAGTTCAGAGATTTAAATTCTTATATTGTTAAATATAACAGTATAAGATGTACTTTAATGTAATATACTTTAATGTAATGTTTTTTATGGTTAATTTCTAATCAACAATATACTAAGCACTAACTGTACAATTGTGGCAATTTCTTTATACGCTTAGAGATATTATATTCCTCTACCAACTTTACACGATAGAAATTGTTTAAATAAATAAAATATAAATAAGATGTAAACAACTAAGCCGGGTTATTCCCAGCCTCTATTCTCAGTGCTGCTTTTACGTTAGTGGGGCTGTAGTCAAGGAACATAGACAAATGAATTTCCTTATGCTCCAGTGCCTCAAACACCTGTTCCGAAACTTCAGTTAATACTTGCAGTCTTTAATCATGTTAAGAATAGATTTTATGGCTTTGACCTATATCATTGGCTAGAATCAATGACATCATCTAAAAGGGAGATGGAGAATAGGAAACTTTCAGGACTGGATGGCAACAAACATTCCTCCCTATATTGCTATATCTTAATATTATTGTACAAACTTGGAAGATGAATGAGGCAGGATATTTTTCCCAATGTGGAAAAAAAGATTCAGTTCTGTCATACTTGGAGGCAATGGGAAAAAGTTAGAAAATAAAGCCTACAGTTTTCTGACATAAATTCTAGACGAATCCCTTGCAATTTATTATGACCTTAAATTCACATGAAGAAGTATCATTTATCTACACATAACATTATGTAATGTTGTAGAAACCATCTCTTTGTGATCCTTTTTTTTTTTCGTGAATGAGTAGAGTGTGAAGAAAAACTAACATGATTAAAACTGGATTTGAGCACTTACTGGCTTCCTGTAGCTATTAAGTAATAACAGTAACAGCTGTTGCTCTTCCCATTGGGGGGGAAAGCAAAGAACTTTCTTCTTTAAAGGATGTTTGCCTGTCAGGCTGAAGGAGAAGGCTGCCCAGTGTCTGAAGGAACATGAATCCTCAGGTAAGTAAGAGCAGCATGTAATGCAACATTGGTATTCAGCATCAGGAGACTGCCAGTGGGCATATTGAAGGATATAATCTACTAACTTCTAATACAATAATTTATAACTCTAGTATAGTTGATGTTGTGTGAGAATTGCTCTAGCAGGTGTCAAAATGAAACATTTGTGGGTGGCTTCATTCTTCAAAAATATTAAACATGGCACTGGTTTTTTAAAATGCAGGGTCCCTTCCATGGCTTTACAACTTTCTTTACTATGGGAATGTTTGCAGAAATCTATTTAGAGGAATAAGAGTAAACTAATTCACTCTGTAGTCCACTTAAATCTGAGAACAAATCTGAGAGGAAACAGATCATTATATAATGTCATCCCATGCACTGCACTGAAAATAAAAGGAAAATCTCTATATGCTGTAGAACCAACTTATTATCTTTATTACACTTTACTGTATTGTAATTTTTAATTTATAATAATATAATATTTTTACTTTTATAATACAATAATCAAAGACATACACACTTTGTTGCCATCTAGAGGTAGTCTAGTTTTTGTAGTCTGCATCTGGTAGCCTACTCCATTAGGCCATGATTTATGTATGGACTTCAGAAGCTGGAAGACGATCTGCTGAAGGTGTCAAATTGGCTGAGGTTGTTTAAATCAGAAATGCACAAGTTGAGGCCCCAGAATTGCCCACACTCCCTCCAAGTGTGGCCTCCATAATCTCCAGGAGTTATTGCCCAATTGTACCTTCTAATATGAGCATAAGAAGAAAATATTAATTAGACATTCAAAAATTATTAGATGATTATTTTTTATTTTAAATATCACTTAATTGAAACAACATTTAATTTTTGTCCTGATCCCCCCACAACTACTATTTTTCGTGTGCCCTCCATTCCCCAGCCTGCTACTCAAAAGCCAAGAGTGGCCCTCAGCACAGAAAATATTGCACACTCTTTGTTTACATACAAAGAATGAAGCATTTGTACAGGGCTATAAAGTTAATATTTTTTATTTTTCTAATAAACAGCTGCAAGATCAAAATAAGGTGGCAGGTAAATAAGTTTGAATGCTGGAAAAATGTGATTTCATCACAATGGATCTGCTGGCTGGGTGAATATTTTCTAAAGAAAGAGCCCAAGTAGCTGTAACCGTCCCTTGCCTATTAAACATTGCTTGGAAACAAGTCTCCAGAACTGTGCTTCTCAGCCTCAGCAATTTTAAGATGTGTGACTTCAACTCCAAGAAATCCCCAGCCAGAATTCTGGAAGTTGAAGTCCAGACATCGTAAAATTGCTGCAGTTAAGGAGCACGGTTCTAGAGTTTTCTGTGGTAGCCCCACCACATGCATAGGAGAGTTCAGTTCCAAACAGTTTCCAACTAAGTCAAAGCCTGCTTTGTTTTGGAGAAGTTTCACTTTGTGGACTCACCAAGGCAGAACTCCATGGATGATGAAATCCTCCCTTCTAGCAGTTTAAGGCTTTTCAAAGCCTAAGCTTCAGTTATTTCTATTTAATAATTGTATTTTATACTGTATTATTTATGTTTTTATTGGTTTTAAACTGTTTGGTTGTGAACCGCCCAGACTCCCTCCTTGTGAGGGAGTTGGGTGGTGATATAAATTTGATTTATAAATAAAAATAAAATAAACAAATTTCTGGATTCCAAAAATGTTGCTAATAACTTCATTCAGGCTATTTTTTTATAAAGATAGAAAAGTTATTCCTCTCTAATGTACTTTTTTTTCTGCCAGGCTGAGGACAAGATGAATGTGCAGGCCTTTCTTGTTCTGTGGGCATTTACAGTCCTGTACTTGGTTTCATACACTGATGCATTTTCTCATGGTGCCAGCCTTTCTGCATGTTCTGATATGAGACCCAAACATATCAGAGCTCACCTTCAGAACCCACAGAATAATTACATTACCATCCATACCAACACATCCTTTTCTCCCGGTGACAAGGTACCAGGTAAGAAGTGTCATCTGATTACAGATTCTCAAGAATAATTAGAGGGCTGTAGATAGTGGTGTGTGGAAGATTGGGCTGAGAAAAAATGACTTGTAAATTCCCCATAAATTTCTATGGTTAAGAATAGGCTTGAACGTGAGTCTCCCCACTCCAAGTCCAACATCTTAATCATTATACCAGTCTGCATTATTGTGCATCATGCTGTTAGGTTTATTGAATAGCTAAACTTTTTGGATAAAGTTTGGAAGCTCCCAGTGCATATGCATTCTTTGTTTATAAGTGATTATAATGTTCAAAAGAGAAATTGTGATTTAGGTTATGTGCCAGAAGCCATAACTTTAGGCTTGAGAGCCAGTAGTTTTCTCTATGAGCCAAGGATGCTCAGCTTTCCTGTATTTTGTTTAGCAGAAGGCCTGGTTACTCAGTTCCCCTCCATGTGCACAGTGAATGTGGGGAACAAAAAGTGGGATCATGCCTCCTGAACCCTTGCCTACAGTACTACCATATTTTCTAAACTTTCCTTCTCACAAGAGGCAGCTTAAGTCCCAACGTCTGAGGTAGGAGGAAGATTCACCACCATCACCATGGTTGTCTTCTCCATCACTTCCACATTCCTTCCCTGATATCAAAAGTGCCACTCCCCCTCTGGCCAACAACCTATGTGCGCTAGTCTTAGCATTACGAAGTGGCCACAATCATTGCAAATATCTAACAGTGTGTGACAACTCCCTACCTCCATCCCTCAGAGCAAGGCCTATAAAACATGAGAACATGACCCCTTACAGAGAACTGTGTAACTTTAGCAGAACTGAAAGAGCTGTTGTGGTAGCAGGACGGGAGAGGAGCAACTGGGGATGCTACAGTTTCTACCCTATCCTGATCTGCTTTTTGAAGCAGGCTTTTCACTTCCCCTAACAGTAGGACAGGACCTGTTCCTTACACTTTAACACAGCTACATTGAGTTCCTTATGCAACCAGGAGCTCCCCGTGTGTGCAGTTCCAGTCATGAAAAGAGATGTCACATATGCAGAGCTTATACAGCATGTAATTGTGAAGACCAAAGGCAACTGTTTTTGGGGAATGATGGTTGTCCTGGGCATGGGGAGTTGCTGAAAGAATTATACTGAAAAATTGGAACACAGTCCAGATATTAAGTATTGGTTCTTGGAAATATGCAATTTATTCATTTTGGAAAAGGCAATACTTTCAACTGCTTGCAGAAATGAAGCAATATGCTCTTATTTGGTATAGATTTCATGATATTTTACAACAATGGAATAGTATTTTCAGGTAAATTCAAAAAAAATTTTTTTTTAATTTGGCACTAATATAGCACTAGAAGGTATGTTTTTAAAACCAGTGATTTTTATATGCTATGTGCGTGTGTCTATATATGATGTTTGGTACTGGTATTTTTAATTTTTCTGCTTTTTAAAATTCAGTTAGGTTGTTTTTTTCCTCTTCTTTTT